GGATATACCATCACTTTGAATAAGCCAATGTATGTAATATCCCACAATACAAACCAAATCTTTCCGCCCTCGCTCAGGAAATACAGTATGTAGACAAACATTATAATGTGTGCATAATTACACACATATATGTGCATTATGTGTATGAATGGCCCCTAAATGTCAATAAAGGTTAAAAAATCTCCTCCGGAATTGCCAGTTTTGCAAGTTCGGCTTGAAATTGGAAGATTTCCGATGACACCTGAAAGCAGCACCAGTGAAACGACGAGAGACGCGAGAGAGAGAGAGAGAGAGAGAGAGAGGAAGAGAGAGAGGAACCTGTACTGTTACTACAACACCAGGAGACAGGAATCGGCCACAGATAAATAATGCTGAGCATAATATCGATGAGAATAAGTTGAGCTCGCTGTGCTCAGACAGTCGCTGCTCTGGAGGACAGACAGTGTCAGTCTCTCTTTATCTCTGCTGGATCTGGACTCTCTGTATTTGCTTTTGGAGGAACTGCGCCGGTCCCTGCTCCTCTGTGTGTGTGTGTGTGAGAGAGAGAGAAGAGAGAGAGAGAGTGTGTGTGAGGGACAGAGTCCTCAGAGCTCCGCTGTGTTTTAACCGGTAAGGAAGTGACTTGTATATAATTATTATTGTTTGTTATTATGAGGGTGTGTTCGCTGCTGCTGCTGCTGCTGCTCCTGCACTCTGTGGCGGTTTCAGACTCTTTTTGGCTGAACCCAGTCATTTCCTTTAAAGAGTGCACAGACACAGGACTGGCAGCAGAAGTAGCCTGAATGTGCTACAATGGAGATAAGGCTGATTTAGAGGAATGTGTGATAAGAGAGTGCAACCTTGCCCTAAAGAGCCACAGCAATTTTGTGATACACTGACACTTCATGGAAATAGCAGGCAAAACAGACGTTATAAGAACATTTTATCACATCACAGGTCATATACCAGTGTTATAAAAGTATAGCACAAGGCAGCAATAAACTTATGCCTGGCTGAAGGAGCCAGTCATTGAAAATTATAGTTGATGGTAGAGAGAGAGCCCATAAAGCTCAGCTCCAGATCACTACATATAAGCTATTTAACATTACAGATGTGTTTATCATAGAGATATTATAGGACTGCCACAGCCATTCTAAGGGGGGGGGGTGCTGCTGCTTTCAGAGGAGATAGTTATGTAAAAGCTCAGTTTGCAGTTTGAGGGAGAGATAGGAGACAGTGTGCACACGTACACATGCTCGTGCACAACTGTCAAAACATGCCCACATCCATGGTTCCATGGTTGTGAGAATACAAATGGTTAAAAAAAAAAAGGGGGTGGGGAGTTATGCAGTGTCTTAACTGGTGTTGACTTACAATCTTACAATAGTAGTGTTGTTGATAGTGCTTACTTTGTACACACACACACACACACACACACACACATAGACACACACACACACAATCACTTGTTTCCATGTGTCACTGTGTAGTAGATTTTTACTACATATTTACTGTCACATTTAATACTTTTACTTTATATATTTACTTCGCATGTACACATTTAGTAGAGTTTTACTTTATAGACTCACTGTTTATTCCAACATTTTGTAGTTTACTGTATATTTTCACTCTACTCACATTTCGTAGCGTTTACTACATAATCACGGTATATATTCACAATTAGTAGAGCTCTACAATATATTCACTGTATAATAATAATAATAATAATTTTTCTATAGTATGTGTCTATAATAAGCATTATATTGTGTGTACATGACATTCCTTTATTATTCCTGCAATAATCTCACTGTGCTCTGGTTCCTCAACTTCTTGTTTTTGTTTTTCTGCACTTGACAGTGTCTTTTTCTTCTTTTGATGTTGACTTTCTGACGTGTGCTGCTCTGCCTCTGTACCTGTTAAGAAATACAGCAATTGTCCACTCTGTAGTACACACACACACATAAAGAAAGAGATAGAGACAGAGACGAGGGAGGGAGAGAGGCAGAGCCTTGTCTTGCAGACAGGATTACACTGTCTCCCCCCCTACGTCAGATTTCAGACATGATTTTCTTTCGTCAGCCCTGTAGCTCTCTCTTAGTGGTTGTACGAGTGAACGCAGCACACTAAAAACACCACAACAACAATAAATGATCTGACTTCACCAAACTGACTGTTAGATAATAAATGGTGTGTAAGAGCTGCACCATCTGTTTTCCCAACCCAGGAATAACACCAGGAATAGATTTAAAGGTAAACACATTTGGTCGGTAAAGCTTGAGGGGAAGCTGTAAATAAATGCTTTTTGTGAATGTGTCATTATTCTCTATGTAACAGCAGCACAGCAGGTCGTTACAAATCCAAATGGAAAAGCCACAAACAGGCTTACTTCTAGATGTCAGTGGGGTGGTATTTTTCTCAGGGAGTTATGTCATGCGAGCGTCTGCCCGCTGTCATGTCTGAGATCACTTGTTGAGCTTTATAGAGAAAGAGGAACATGACCTATGTTTAAATGTGACTCGTTGTGACAGTCGGTGATTCATGTTAATTTGAGCGCTTGCCACTGTTGGAGAGTGACAATTTCCACACAAATAAAAAGTTAGATCATTTAGAAAGCCTTTTTTTTTTTCCGCAGATGCCTCTCATTCACATAGTGATCCCCCGAGAGCTCACGCATGACTCGAGTGAAGCTCTTTGTGTTCGATTGCTCCCACCGATGTGCCTCTTCTCAAATCCTGAGTAAATGCTGCTTTTGGGAACAGCGTGTTTGCTTGTTTTTGCATCCCCGTGCTTATCATGTTCAAACTTTCAACTCTACTTTACTTTATCTCCGACAGAGACATGACATTGCCCCCCCCCCATCTCCCCCCTCCCCCCCTTTTTCTCTGTATCTGTGGGAGTAAAATTAGCAATTTCATTTTTTTTTGTCGTCTCCCTTCAGAATGTGGAAGTGTTTTATTGGTGGCGAGAAACAATGAGGACAAGGCAGGGCTTTGTGGTGGCAGAAATGCATTTTTAACCCATGTGAATGAATGGCGCCTCACATTCCACAGCAGCAGGCCCTTCACTGAATGGCAGCACTAACTCGGCTGTTTTCATTACTCATTACTGCCTTGTGCCTTTTTACCGTGCTCATATAGTCATTTACCTTCCCTAAGAGAGAGAGAGTGGGGGGTGAGCACCACAAAGACCCTGTCAGTAGGTTTTCGAGGTAATATCCAAAGTTAGATATGTTTTTTCTTTCCTTCTAAGTCTTATCCTCCAGGTTTTTCTTACTCCACAGTTAATACAACCGATCAATAGGTTGTTTTAATAATGGTGATGTGTAATGGTGAAGGTGTTGCTCGTAGCGATAAGCCAATGGGGGGAGCGTTTTGCTAAGCGAGATACGTCCATATGAAAGCAACACACAGAGAGAGATAATTGGACTGCACCATTTTTGCTTAGTCTGTGAAAAGGATGTTGTTTTGCTAACTATTAGCCATGTCAACTTTACACTTTGCCTCATGTTTGCTGCCTCCTAGTGGCCAAAAAACACGTGGCCCCGGTTTCTGTGGGTGGTTTGGAGCACCTGGTTGAATCTACGTCTGGAAGCGTTCCAGCGTGTGCTACAGTTGAGCCCTACATGTGCATACTTATGTCATGGGCCGGATCCATTCGCTTCTTTTCAGAGAGTAATTACTACCCTGATCTGACTCGGTTTCTTCATCTCTGTCCAAACTGGTCATGTTAATTTTGTGCAGCTTTCAACTAGAATGGCTATGATAAAAGTAAAGACACTGAAAAAGCCCAACACAGACATGTTTTCCTGTACTGAGTCGGTTAGGCTGAGGTCGAATACATCCTATTCTCAGTTTTGTTTTCCTTGTCATGTTTTAGATCGTATCAACCCTTTCTACATGAAAGCGAAGATATATCTGCCTTCACAGGCTTAAATAACTTGAGGTTGGGTTACGTAAAGAGGCAGCAAACAACAAGTGAAAAAAACATTTTAGCTGCTGCTTCCTCTTTAAAGGGAAATTAAGAATTGCATGTATATCTTTGTTGGTGGTCCAGACAGTCTCATCATTTTATTATGGGCTCTATTCTGTGTTGTTGGCATTGATTCCCCGCTGCATGGTGGGGGTTTCCACTCTGAAAGGGCAATCTCTCTCTGTGTCAGCCTAGAAACACCAAGCTCCCGGATTAAATTATAAATGAGCCCTCCATGGGAAACGTATTGCTTACTGCCTTAGGATAATCAGAAGGAATTCAGATTTCCTGCAGCATTCACCCTACATCTGTGCAGTATGTACATTTGTACATCCATTAAGACCAAAACATTCCGAGATGCAGATTTCCGTGAAACTTTAGTGATGGATGTGTTGTCTTTATTTGGGTCACACCTGCACGTTCCCCACCATATTGGATCAATAGAGACTACACCAGATATGAACTGTGAGGGCTGAGAGCTGTCCAAATTAGACCCACAGAAATGATGTAGTAATCGGAGGATTAAGATAGGAGGGGGGTTAGAGTTGATGGGGGGTAGAGGAGGTGCTGGCGTGGGGATTTAGGCACGGGGCCATTTTAGCCTTCACCCAGAGTGGTGGGGAGGGAGGGGGCAGGAACATGGTTGTATGGGGGCTCAACTGTTGCATTTACATGCACTTTTTCATTGTAGATACTCATAGCTGAGTTGGGATGTTTTTAACTTCAAACTGTTTTTGCTGTGGTGGAAAAACCATCTCACACACTTAGTCATCCTGGGACTCAAGAACCCACCTAATGCAAACTGCACTACATGGATCCTTTCAGAAGAGCTGATCATTCGAGATCTGTAGATTTGTTAAAAGGGACATTTTTATCGCAAAGGAAATAACTTATCACATTGTGAAATTTGCACTGACCAAATCTTCAAGTTACATCAACTCTAATGGAAAAAAACCAAAAACAACCACAGACATCTGTTGAATGTGTGGATGTAGAAAGTGTCACGTCATTTTCACATTTTTGTTTACTGTCATTATTTATTATAACTATTTACTGATTGTTTTCACCGAGGATTTTTAATAAATAGATGACAATGGTATTTATAGGCATCCTGTGAACGTGGGTGTGGGAACAACCCACATTAATTACTTTTAGGGTTTATTCATTTTAGAAATGTTTAGTAGATGTTACAAAGGGCTAAGCTAAGAATGTTGTCACCACAATTGTACACACCCATAACTGTTCAATACTGACACTTTAATTAATGTCAACATCAGTTAAAACTTGAAGCTACATTATTAAACAGAGTCAACACTAAATTAAATGAGTCCACACTGGATATTGAAGTGAATGTAACCAAACCTGCTCTTGAAATAAAATCACTGGTACATGTTTACAGCAAACACTTTCAGTTCAGGTAAATATAGTGATGGAATAATGTAATTAAAGGTGCAGCTATAATAAACAGATTCAATGTGAGTAAACCGAAACATAAGATCTTGTTACCAGTTGGTCATTGGCAAGTTATAAGTAGTGTTAATAGAACTTGTCAACTTTAATTTGAACAAACTAAGTTCATTTGTTTATTACCAATTGAAGTTGTTTTAAGTTAGTCTAACAATTTCTATTTTTCCCTGTTTTATAGTGCAAGAAAAAAAGTT